CAGTACAGTACAGTACAGTATGAAGAGAGAGAACGCTAACCTTACTAGAGGCGACTTCTGGCGTGGAGGACAGGAAGGCGGGTGGGGAGGCGGTTATTGCTTGGAGGGAGAGTCCCCCTTCCTACAGGAAGCCACGACCATGTGTCACAGCAGGGAAAATGGCCGCGGGTCGTGTTCGTCACTCGATGCGGAGTTCGCAAACGGAAGCAAAATTTTGCAAACGGTGCTGTTCATGAACCGAATTGTTCAGGTTCGTGAACCGAGGTATTACTGTACTCTATATCAAGCCTTAGATTAAAAAAAGAAAAACCCCAAGAAGAAGCCATTCTGGAGAGCTCATCTACAGCCCATTTCTTTAAGGCAAACTTTTCTGCCCTTGCCTAAAAACATGAGGAAAGCATTAAGTTTCCTCAAGGCTCAATATGCTTATTTTGACTTTAAACCCTCCCTAAATGCAAACAAACAAAAGCCAATTTTTTTCAGTTGCACCCATGGAGATGTTGCACAATGAGACAAATACTTTCCACACAGTTTCTGTACCAACTTAGTTTGCCAAATGAGACCTATCTTCCCTTGTCCCTTGAAGGACAGAAGAGTGACTTCTTCAGAAGGACTGCCTCCAGTCAAAGCAAGTGATCTGTCGCTGCACCAGGGGGCATCCAGGTGTCCCTGTCAAGATCATAAAAATCTCTTCCCTCACATGGACCATGGTTACTTCTCCCATCAGGTTGCTAAAGAGAACGGTCAAAGAATATGACCAACTCCCAAGAAAGCAAAGGAGCCCCAGGGGAGAGTATTTACCCTTGAACAACTACATATGATTTTGCCTCTCCCCATGACTAGAGGGCATCTTCTACACTCTAGAATGAGGCAACCTCCTACTGCAAACCAAGGGAGTGCAGAAGCCATATGGGAGGAATGTAAGAGCCTAGGGTGGCCAGCCTCTCTGCACGACTGTGTTTAGAAGGATGACAGTGGTTGAAGGCCCTGCTCTTTCAAGAACCCTAGAACAAAACTTCTCCATAGTGCCTGAGGGTAGGTCAAGAACAAATGGGTGGAAGTTTGCAGAGGGAGATTCAAACGTGAAATATAGAATTATTTGATTGTGAGAGCTATTAAGCAGCGGAACACCTTGCCTCCTGGAGTTGTGGGGGCTCCATCATTGGAGGGTTTCAGGTAAAGACCGGAGAGCCAACTGTCTGAAATGTTGTTTGAAACCTGTTTGAGGTTTCCTGCCCTGAGCAGGCAGTTAAACTAGAAGATTTCCAAACTCCCTTCCAACTCTATGATTGGAACCTCTCCTCATTTTAACATTCTCTGGAACTTCCAGACCAGTGTTTCTCAACCTTGGCAACTTTAAGATGCATGGACTTCAACTTCCAGAATTCCCTAGCCAGCCATGCTGTTCCAGACATTTTTCCTTTTTCAGCAAAGGAAAAGCTGAAAAAATCATAGAGCCAAGCAGAAACACACTCAATGGCTTTTCCTTCCAGGTGAAGCTTCTCTATTTTTGCTTTCCAATGAAAGTTCTCCCTCCTCCATGATGAGAAAAGGAAACTATATCGGATCCCTGGAATTCCTTTCTTCCACTTTCCCAGTTGCTCTGAGTAGAATTCACACCATGACTTGGTTCTATGCAGGATGCTTGTTCCTTGTTTCTAGATACTCTTGAGTTAAAAAGTTAACCATGTATTTCCATTCACTATGTTTCAAGGCTGAGAAGAAAAAGCAAAAATGGAAAAAGAACCTAACATTTTTATCCTGTGATCCTGTTGGTTGGAGCTGGAGAAAGCCAAGGAAGCAGCACACTGAATAACAAGACTAAGACTGAAAGTCCTCTAAACTTAGGACCTTGGTTTATTACATTACCCCTTATGTTGCCATGCCATCTAAGCCAATACTAACACATAAAGTGTGGCTAACAAGCAAGATGTGCTGGATGTGCTGAAGCCACCAGCTCCCCATTTTCAGTTTCTCCCAGAGAGAGAGAGAGACAGGAAGGGGACTGGCTGTATTGCTGAGGAGTGTGCTCAGCACGTCCTGCCTCCTTGGACTTCTTCACCCAACTCCCTGCATAGAGGGTGCATAATGCACCTCTCTGGGTCTTCTGCCGAGCCCTTCCCAGTCTGGGGCTTTCCCAAAAACCCCAAGTGTCCATATGCTGCCAGCCATCTCCGTCTCCCCATCTATCTTGGGTCTTGGTGTAGTTTGCCCTTCTATCTGGGGTTTCACTTCTCTTCTGCCAGGGAATCGTCCTGTCAACTTCTTCACTCTCTTCTCCCTCTTGAGGCCAGGAAATTGCGACAGCACAAATGAAGTCTCTCGACACTTACTACAATGTTTCTCTCCAGCCAAAACCTCTCTCCCCAACAGCGTGTTCTAAAATGTGGCAGTCTATCCCTCCGTTTCTGTTTCTCACTCTCCTTCACAGGTCAGACCAGCAACTAAGGCAGCAGATTAGTCCCTAAAACCTACATATTAGGCTTGACCAATCAAAATGCTGCCTCTATCTGCCCCACAATGAGCCAGGTCAGTGGATCAGCTCTCATGAGCAGCACAGCTGCACTCCCAAGGCCATATCTGAGCTTCTTTTCCACACGTTTCTCTCTCCTTCTGCTGGCTTACTCCAGCAGCATAGCAGCTGAGCCGGGCCGCTAAAATCCATATGCCAGTTTCGGAGGAACAGGCGACACCAGAGAGGAGGAAGCAGGGAGCAGTTGTTTATCCGGAATGAATGCCCCGTCTGACGTTCACCAGGCCAATGGTCAGAGTGCTGAGAGCATCTGGGTTAAGACATAAGCACAAGCTGGCAGAGAGGACCCTTGCTAGGCGTCTACCACACAGCCCCAAACCAGGTAGAAGAGGCAGAGGAGGGTCTATTAAAGCAGACCACTGAAGCCTAAAAATGAAGTTCTGATGGGACATCTGCAGGAAGACCGATTCTGCCCAGCACAAGATGTCAGATAAATCCTTGCAGTGATGATAATTTTATCTTTCAAAAAAGTAAGATGGCACTAAGAAATCTGCTAACTTGGATTTGGTCCCCAATAACAGGGAAGAGTTGACTGAAGACAATGAAGTAGTCGGAACTTTGAGTGCAAGCAACCGCGCAATCTGAAAGAGTTCTTGATTTTAACAAAAAGCTTAATGAAAAACAGTCAAAAACAAACCAGCAAGGCTGATTTTCATAAACCAAAAGCATAGCAGGGAAGTTGCCACGGAAATGAAGGCAAAAGTGTTGTAGCCCGCAGAGCCTTCCTGCAAAGGAAGTTGAGGGTGGTGCAGTCTCAAACCAATTCCAACGAGGAAGATGACAAGGAGACACGGTGGGTGAAGAGGCAGCTCGCAGAGGAGCAGAAGCTAAAGGAGGAGGCT